AAGCTGATTGCTGTGAGATTCTTGGGAGTTTTGACAGCACTCCTTTGAACTTGGTGATGAAAACTCGAAGTGACTCACTTGACCCTTGCGACAAGTTCCAAAGATCGGCATCCGAAACGCTTTTATCCATAAGGATGGAATATTGCTTTAAGAACATGGCTGATAGTTCGTCGAAATTACTGATCGAACCCGGCTCTAATTGGGTGAACCACATTAGAGCTTGGCCACATAGATTCTCCGAAAAAAGCTTACAGTAGCCTGCGTCCTCATCAGCTTCATCCAATTCGACTCTTCCAGCAGCGATCAGAAAAGCTGCGAGATAGCTTTTTGGATCCTCCAATCCGCTGTAAGGGTCCAACTTAAGTTTTCGGGAGTCTTTGATCCTCAAACTTGCAATTCGCGAGATGAAAGGTGTTCGCCTAGCTTCTTCGATGACTCGATTGATGTCTGGCTCCGAACTTGTAGCTTGATGAAATTTCGATTTCATTTCTTTTAATTCCTGGCTAACCTTCCTCATGGTCTCGAACTGGTCGAGGTTCTCCTGCTCGTATTGAGCTGCAAGTTGTTCTTCATCTCCAAGCTGTGTCTCTTCTTCCAACGTCTGAACTACATTATTAGTAGCACCGGGAGTTGTCTGTCCGCTGGTTTCATTTCGTGCAGCGGAACTTGGCGAGTTGAATATCCCTCTTCGGATTCCCACAAGGTTTCCTGCACTTAAAGAGCGAACACGAGTTTGTATAGTATTGACGTTTTGACTAAGAGATACCTTGGATGTTTGCAACGTATCGACGGCCTTTTCCACATCCGAGAACTTTTGTGATATGTCCGACATGGTTTGCTGCATAGCTTTGAGGGTTTCAGCCAATGATGTCTCAACGGTGTCTCCTCCGGACATTGTTGCTTATCTCGGAAGTGTAGTAAAGAAAAAATCTGACCACTCAAGAATCCTAATTCTCCCCACAGACGGCGCCAAAATGTGGATGTCGGATTCACACACTCAAGTATTTTATTAAGTATGAAAGATTATTCTTGAGGGACAAAAATGAATAGGTAAAAACTTCTAAATTGCTACGAAAATTGCTATAGTATTTCTTTTTTGAGAGGAAGATCCCTTTACATGGCCATTGGCCTTTATATTTATACATAGAGAATCAACATTAAAATGAATAATTAAGTACAATTATTCCCTCTTAAATGTGTCCGTTTTGATTCTTCGACTTTAATGCTCAACGTTTGAATTTGAGTTGACTCTGATCTTCATGGGCCTCGCCTTTTTGGCGACTTACCTGTGTTTTCTACACCGAACTCATGTCACAGTGCAGTCACTTCGGATTCTCGAAGTGGTGACAAACACTTCGACCGTTCCTTCGGCTCATGGGTCCAATGGGCTTTATCCTCTATGGACCATTATCTTGACTACGTGGCAATCTTTGGTTGGTTTCGGACTTATGGTGCGGGATCCGACACCAACAATATATATGATTTGCACTTTAGCAAAAAAGCAAGCAACATGAATCCAATACTGAAACCTGAACATACCCAACTTGGATCTCGAAAAACCAAGTAAATGGGCCTGCCGATATTATGGTCCATGAATATTTGTAGAAGACAACAAAACTATCTAGTATTGTCTTCTCCATAAAAAAAAAAATAGGAAAAATCATTGCCAGCTACACGAACTATACGCCAACACATCACCACACATGCAGATTATTTTAATGTTTCGCTAACTACACGAACTATTGGTATTACATACGGACATCTCCAAATTATCATCGGTTATGTGTGTAACACCATAACCATCATTTCCAAATAATATAAATGTCTTGTTAACTATACGAATTATTTCTTTTTTTGTCAACTACACGAAGTATTTTCATCAATTTTTTTTTTTTAAACTAATAAGTTAAATAAAACTATATAATATATCAATGTAAATTATATATGTACATTATAACTATTCTAACTTTAAAATTTTAATGTAATAAAAACTAAACTAGTTCCATAAAAAATATATGTGTTCATTAAAAATTTGTTAATTAACTTAAACCTATAATGAACATGTATAATTTAATTAAGTGACACTTTTAAAAATTTAGTTAAATTAATTTCATATAAAACATATGTGTGCATTAAAAATTAGTTAATTAATTTAACTTAAAATTATAAGGGATACTGCATATGTAGAATTTAAACTTTAAAAGTTATAATGCATATATATAATTAACAATAGTGTATTATTTACTTTTAGTTATTTTTTCATTTTGTAATTTAGTTTTAAAAAAATGATGGAAATATTTCGTGTAGTTAACAATACATTTATATTATCTGAAAATGATGGTTATGGTATATATAATTTACATTGATATATTATATAGTTTTATTTAACTTATAGTGATGTATAATTTAACTAAGTGACTATTTTAAATTTTTAACAATTTAATATAATAAATATTAAATTAGTTAAATTAATTTAACTTAAAAGTATAATGCATTAAAAGTTATAATATATATATAATTTATAATAGTGTAATATTTACTTTTTAGCTATTTTTTATTTTTTAATTACTTTTTAAAAAAAAAAAAATTTGATGGAAAATACTTCGTGTAGTTGACAAAAAAAAAATACTTCGTGTAGTTAGCAAGACATTTATATTATCTGAAAATGATGGTTATGGTGTTGCACACATAACCGATGATAGTTCGGGGATGTCCGTATGTAATACCAATAGTTCGTGTAGTTAGCGAGACATTAAAATAGTTTGCATGTGTGGTGATGTGTTGGCGTATAATTCGTGTAGCTGACAATGATTTTTCCAAAAAAATACGACAAATAAATATATAAACATTTAGAGACATGGAAAAGAGAGATAAAATCAATGAGATATGTATCCTACCAAAAAAAAATCAATGAGATATGTAAAAACAAAAACTTAAAATGGTGAATTGAAAAAGTTACTTTTTTTTTTTTTTTTGAATTACTAGAAAGTTATAAGTTAAAGAGCAAAGGTATCAAAGAGGAAAGGTATGAGTTAAAGGAAAAAAAAAAAAAAATTTCCTTAAGCGTCTATATATATACTATGAAGTTATAAATCCTCACAATTTTAACTCATCCCATTCCCATCACTTCTAAAGCCCTAGCTAGGTCATCGGAAATTTTATGGCTTTTCAAGTAACAGAGATGTTTCCTTCATCCAATTTCTCTTTCTCACCGTCGTCGATGTTCACAGCGTACGCATCCATAACCGGATTCTTGATGCTCTTTAGATCGATGCTCAATGACATCGTACCAAAGAAGCTCCGATCTTACATCTTTGACTTACTCGACCGTTTTTTCACCCCGAAATCGAAGAATCTCACTTTGATTATCGACGAGATGGTCCGATATAAGAGGAACCAAGTTTTTGACGCGGCGGAGATGTACCTCCGCTGCTCCGCAACAAGATGGGACCCGAGACATCACGTTTACGAGTCGGTAAGCTCCCTATGCAGAAGCACTTGACAATCTCGATCGAGAAAGGCGAAGAGATCTTGGATACTTTCGACAAATCTGAGGTGAGATGGAGTTTCGTTGAAACAGAGAACGAGAAAACAGAGAAAGTGAAACGTCACTACGAGATCACATTCGAGAAGAAGCTTAGAGATAAAATCATCAACTCTTATTTAAACCATGTTTTAGCCCAAGGGGAGGAGATTAAGCAGAATCTGAGAGTGGTGAAGCTTTATAGCCGAGATGTTGGTAGGACCGATGACGACAGTGGAATGGCTGGTTCGGATTGGGGATGTATAAATCTTGAACATCCTTCGACGTTCGATACATTGGCGATGGATCCGGGTGCGAAGAAGAAGATCATTGATGATTTGGAGAGGTTTTTGAAGAGGAGAGAGTTTTATAAGAGAGTTGGTAAAGCTTGGAAACGAGGTTACTTGTTGTATGGTCCACCAGGAACTGGTAAATCGAGTTTGATTGCTGCAATGGCTAACTACTTAAAGTTTGATGTGTTTGATCTTGATCTTAGTAGTATTGATGACAACTCTGACCTCAAGAGTGTCTTGTTATCTACCACGAATCGTTCGATTTTGGTTATTGAGGATATTGATTGTAGTGCCGAGGTGATAGATAGAGAAGCTGATTCTGATCAAGAAGACGAAGAGAGTAATGGAAAGGTAACATCTTTTGAATTTGTGTATATATATTGGTTCTTTGTTCTGACTGTGTTATTTTCTTTGAGCAGGTGACTCTATCAGGGATCTTGAATTTCATTGATGGGTTATGGTCGAGTTTTGGGGATGAGAGAATCATCGTGTTCACGACTAACCACAAAGAACGGCTTGATCCTGCTCTGTTACGTCCTGGAAGAATGGATGTGCATATCCAGTGCCGGTCCAAAGTTATTTGATGCCTAAAGCAAAAAAAATTTGTTGCCCCAAAATTTTTCTTTTATGCATAACATGAGTTAAAAAAAAAAAGTGTTAAAAGTTAAAACCAAAAACAGAAAAGACAGAAGCATCATTGTTTAAAAAAATAAAATAATAATAATCATTTAATGTTAATCAATCTAATATACTCCCTCTGTATTTGAAAAAATGTCGTTTCAACTGTTTTTGGGTGAATTAAGAAAAGACACAGAATTACAAAACTAACCTTATGAGAAACGATTATTTACAATTATATTTTTGGTATCTGTAGTTTTGGTAATTTAGACTGATTAATTATGATCAATTAATTGGGGGTAATTTAGGAAATTTTATGCAAAAGTTGTTAAAATGACAACTAATTAAAAACACAGAAAAAATGCTAGAACGACATTTATTCAAATACGGAGGGAGTAGTTGTTTAGTAATAAAAAAAAAGACTTAGCAAAATAAGTTTTAAAAACAAATTAAATTGTTTAGTGAATAATTTAATGTTAATCAATCTAATATAATAATAAAAAAGGGAAATTGAAGTTAAAAACTCAAATAATCGAGCAGATTTAAAAAAAAAAAAAAAAAAAAAATTATTCGGTTTTGGAAAAAAGAAGTAAAAAGATTTGAACCTTGGTTGGGAGGTGGAGCAAAAGACACTCAACCACTACACTACTGGACATTTATAATATTGATGCCCCTAAACATATCTATAAACGTTACTGCCTAAAGCATTGGCTTGTTGGGCTTTAGCCATGGGCCGGCCCTGTGCATATCAACATGTCTTATTGCACAGGTCTAGGGTTTAGGACATTGGTCTCTAATTACCTAGGGTTAGATGGCTTAAACCATCCTCTTTGTGAGGAAATCGAGGCGCTGATCGATTCTACTGAAGTTACTCCAGCTGAGTTAGCTGAAGAGCTAATGCAAGACGATGATACTGATGTTGTTCTTCGTGGAGTAGTTAGCTTTGTTGAGAAGAGGAAGGTTGAGAGAAGCAAGACTAAGGAGGAGGTTTCTATTTGTAAAACAATTGATGATGAAGGAAAACAGAATGGTTTGAAGAACAAGAAATGTGGAAAAGGAAAAGGGAAAGGAAAGGCATTTGGTTAATTAATCTTATTCGGAATCAAATTATATGTTTATTCAGTTTAGTTTGGTTTGGTTTTTATTACAAACATATTACAATATTAAAAAAAATTAACTGATTTTAATAAGATTTTTAATATATTTAAATATATGTTTCTATATAATTAATTAAAAAACATTAATTATTTTAATAAATTTTGGTTATTTGGCTCGGATACGTTCGCATATACACGTGACATTTTCTGATATGATCGTAAGTTCGTAACCCAGCAATAGCATGTCATCTCTCTCTTGACTCTTCCCTCCGTTTCTATATATGGGGAATGTACAAAGAACAAAAAGAGAAAGAAAGAGAAATGGAGAAGAGAATCATCAATGGTTGGTCAAAGAGAAAACAAAAACATGTGGTGTAGCTTTCAAACAAAAGATTACGAGATATTTTTGGACAGATTTCATTCTCCTCTTTATCTCTCATCACCAATCTCTTTTTATTGTTCCTCCATATTCATCATCATGATCAATCCTCTTATGTGTTTTCTTTCGAAATATTATCGAATATAGGATTTGGTAATAGATTGTGTTTATGATTGGAATGTGTTTTGAGTCTTGCAGGCAATTGGTAAGGACTTTGGTTATCATAATTCATAAGAACACTCTTTTTTTAGAGTGCTCTTCTCGCCTGCCCCTATCTGCCTAATCCATACCTATCATATCTATACATAACACATCATGTCTCTCAACGTTGGTAAGTCTCTTTTTCTTTTCCATTGATTTATATATTATGAATCTTTACTTTTGTTACCTTTCTTGATGTATATGTGTTTTTTGGATCTTACTTAATTAGATCTTGACGTATGTGTTTTGGAGAGACCCAATGTGTGTTCTTTTAAAAAGAGGAGTTGCTCCAAGTTGAGTTGTTCCTTGACGAAGAAGAGAAGAAGTAGCAAAGTGATGTCCGTGGAGATCTTTGAGGATGAGCATGACGCGGAGGAGGTAAAGGCGGTTGATGCATTCCGCCAAGCGCTTATTCTCGATGAACTACTTCCGGACAAACATGATGATTACCATATGATGCTTAGGTCTACCTTGGAATATACATAGAATATGAAAAATCATATGCCAATGAATGCATCTATGTCTATACTTAGCTTGGATGTTCCTTCATTTTGCAGGTTTTTGAAGGCTAGAAAATTTGATCTTGAGAAAACCAAACAAATGTGGTCTGACATGCTCCGATGGAGGAAGGAGTTTGGTGCTGACACAGTTATGGAGGTATGTCTTTTATGGAGCTTTTATGTATACAAGAAGGTGCATTGTGATTGAAAACAATGTTCTTACTCTATTTTTTCTTTGTATGTATATGTCTTTTAGGATTTTGAATTTAAGGAAATAGATGAAGTGTTGAAATACTACCCTCAAGGACACCATGGAGTCGACAAGGAAGGAAGACCGGTGTACATCGAGAGGCTAGGTCAAGTAGACTCTACCAAGTTGATGCAAGTCACAACCATGGATAGATATGTGAACTACCATGTGATGGAGTTTGAGAGGACTTTCAATGTTAAGTTCCCAGCATGCTCCATCGCAGCAAAGAAGCACATTGATCAAAGTACAACAATTCTTGATGTCCAAGGAGTGGTATGTACATAACTGAATGGTCATTTGTATAAACTATAATCCAATATTTACCAAAATGGTGTATGATAACTGCAGGGGCTCAAAAACTTCAACAAGGCAGCAAGGGATTTGATTACGCGCCTTCAAAAGGTCGATGGCGACAACTATCCAGAGGTGCACCTTATATTATCATCATTGGTTTATCTTTTATGAATGATTCTTGGTCGGTCAACTTTTTTTCTCACTTATCTGTGTCATTGGCTCAGACCTTGAACAGGATGTTTATCATCAATGCTGGCTCAGGATTCAGGATGTTGTGGAACACGGTTAAGTCTTTTCTTGACCCAAAGACTACAGCAAAGATCCATGCAAGTATCCAAACCCTTTTTATCACTCTTGACACTTATATATATGAATGATAGATATTCTAAGTACTTAGCTAATTTGATATTCAGGTTCTTGGCAACAAGTACCAAAGCAAGTTGCTTGAAATAATTGATGCTAGGTGAGCTCCACAAAAAGTTTCTGCATGACCTCTCAGAATATAGTATTTCTCTGTTTATCGCGCTAGATACTGATGGATGGCTTCTCATTTTTCTTTGTATCAGTGAGCTGCCTGAGTTTCTGGGAGGATCTTGTACTTGTGCTGACAATGGAGGCTGCATGCGCTCGGACAAAGGGCCATGGAACAATCTAGATATTATGAAGGTCTGTTTTCTACAGGTTCTTTGATCTACTATAGTAACAAGAACGCTCATCAGAGTTAGTTTCTTTCTATCTCTATGAAAACTAAGCTAATTCTCACCATTGACCTACAGAGAGTTAATAATGGTGACCACAAATGCTCAAAGAGATCTCAAGCTGAAAATGTTGCAGATAATACCACATCCGAGGAAAACATTGTTCACTCCAAGGTCTTGCTTGCCTTGAGCTAATCTTTATGCACCAATAATCTTTATCTTGACAAAATCTTTCTCCCATTTCCTTGTGCTACCCGTTGAATCACTCATTTGTGTTATATGTTCTCTCAGGGGAATGACTCTGCAGTTGAGGAAGCTCCTGAAACTGACCAGTCATTGCTCTCTCCTTGTCAAAATGTAAGAATGACCCTACTTCCTTCAGGCTTTTATGTGACAGTACTTCAAATTCTCCTTATATTTCTTCCCACATCTCAGGTCGTGGTTGCTCATCCAGCTTGGAACATACCAGAAGCTCACAAATTTTCCCTCTCAAAAAGTATAAGAGATCCTGTGCAAACACATCTAAAGAGGAAAATACTACTCCTAGTTAAAATATTTGAATTTAAGTACTTCTTTGTGTTTGAACAGGGGATGTTTACGCTATTCAAGAAGCTTGCAAAGCTACAAATGAAAGTGGGAGGTCTCCTATTTTCACTGGCGTCATGGCTTTTGTAATGGGTGTAGTAACCATGATTAGAGTGACTAAAAACGTACCAAGGAAGCTAACCGAGTCAACCATATACTCTAGTCCAGTTTACTGCGACGAAAACTCCATGAACAAAAGCTCGATGCATGAGGGGAAAATGGCAACAACAACCATCTCAGGGGATAATTTCATGGCGGTCATGAAACGAATGGCTGAGCTTGAGCAGAAAGTCACAATCTTGAGTGCACAGCCAATAACTATGCCTCCTGAAAAGGAAGAGATGCTTAATGATGCCATTAGCCGAGCCGATTTCTTGGAACAAGAACTGGCTGCAACCAAGAAGGTAACATCTAATAAAAAAACATTCATATTACTGATTAGTTCTCATCTTTCACTATCTCCCATTAAAGAGTTGTTGTATCTTCACAGGCTCTTGATGATTCTCTTGGCCGACAAGAGGACCTTGTGGCATACGTTGAGAGAAAGAAGAAGAAGAAGAAGCTGGTTCGTGTTCAAATCAATGGTTATACTTAACTAAATTTTGTTATAGTCTTTGATTAAAATGGTGTTTTGTTTTGCTTTTTATCTCCTTGTGCAGTTCACTTGGTGAATGAGGAATATGAGGAAGAAGAAGCCTCTAGAGGAGTCAGAGGTCGCCAATGCATGTCATTAACTTAAATCATATACAGTCATCTTAAAATTAAGAGAATCTCCAAGGAAAGAATTTTGTTTTGTCTCTGTATATATCGATCTTCCTTAGATGTTACCACTTATCCACATTATATGCGAGATTAATTTTTATTTGTAAAAACAAACAAAAACAAAAACTTATCAGAAATGTAATTTGTAAATATACTTTCATACAAAGTTTATTAGTGTGCAAAAAATTTTAAGTACATTTATAAACTAAAAATTACTCTAAGCCCTAAGGTAACAACTAACAACAAAAATTAAAGTCGCCAAAACTTAAATCTTATAGTTATATTAAACTTTCAGAATTTCGAAAGAAATAACATTTATTGTTTTGTCTCAGTATATATCTTCCTTAGATGGTTACCCGCATCATATGCGAGATTAATTAAATTTTATTTGTATAAAAACAAAGAATTTATAATAATTGTATGTATAGTTTTAAACAAAAGTTTTTAGCATGCAAAATTTTACATCATTCTTATTGTTCTATGACAATTTTGAGCCATTAACAATCTGATTATATCTCGTATTGTCGTTACATTTACAACAAAGTGGCTGTAGTTTAGTGGTAAGAATTCCACGTTGTGGCCGTGGAGACCTGGGCTCGAATCCCAGCAGCCACACTTAACTTCTTTTTTCATTTTTTAATCGCAAAGCCTCCATACGAAACAGAAGGTCTTCTTGGTTTTGTAGTTGACGCACTCTTTGGGCTTTTAAGTTAGGTTTAACTACACCCAGTAGAAACTTCGGTTCGGACAACAACAAGAAGTTGCTCCCAATCTACGTTAGCCACGTGTCACTTTCCACTTGCACCCACGTGCTTAGCCGGTTACTTGATCCATTTAAATCCTCAATTTCTGTATTCGTGTACGTATACTAGATGTTAACCCGCGGTACACCGCGGGCCTAAATATTATTTGATGTTTTTTAAATTATTAATTTAAATATTTTATTTGACATATATGAATTTTTTTGTTAATTTAAATGTATATATTGATACGCCGTACACTGCGGGCCTATATTTTTTTAAAACAAAATTTTTTTAGGATGATCTATAAATATATGCTATTGTTTTGTTTGATTTAAATGTATAGTACACCACAAACGATATTTTATAACTAAAATTTTGAAATTTTAAGTTGTATTTGTTTTGTTAATATTGTTTATTTTGTTTAGTGTTTCAGATTGTATAATTGTATTTTGATTGTTAATTCTAGGATTTCACCTGTAGTATATCATCCTGTATTAATATCGATCCAATTCCGTCAATAGAGTTATTTGGAAGTATCCTATTTGTTTTTTGTTTTTTTTTAATGTATGATTAGTTCCGTAATTGTAGTGTTTTCTTTGAGTGAGTAGAAAACTTCTTGCTAAGCAAATATAATTAAAAATATATTCATAATATAATATATTTGGAAATGATTTAGGAAAAATATAAATTAGCTATGTATTATGCTAGTAATATGATAGAGATTACCAATTTTATAGGAAAGAAATCGATCACATTTATGTTTATTTTTAGCATTCAAATTTTATTTTATTTTTTGGTAATAAATCTTTAATGCTATAACTAAAAAACGTTAGAACAAATTAATTTTTTTATTTGCATTAAATTGAAAGCGTGTATCAAATTAAATATTGATTTGTTAGAACAATATATCAATTTATTGAGTTTTTTAGTTATGGCATTAAAAATTTATCATTGTTTTTTTTTGTTAGCATTTAAATAGGATACCATTTGATTTGAAAAATATGTGTTTGTTATAACTACATATACGATTTCTATATTTTCAAATCAATAATTTAATTTTGTTTAAATGTTTTTATGGAATAAAGCCAATTAATAATGAAAGATTCTATTGAAGATTTTCATTGAATATTCTCCAAAAATGTATACATATAGATAAGGATTATTTGAATATTTCATTGAATTATGTTAGCATTAAATATATAATAATATTTGTCATATTTCTATATAGAAATAACTATTAATATATTGAAAATATTACCAATAAATGATTAAAAATAATTAGTTTCTATTTGCTAGATGTATATTCGAGATTATTTGTAGATTTATTATCTTTTTATATAGAAACAAATTTGACAATCTAAAAAAATCTTTCATATATTATTTATAGAACTATATGTTTTACTTACTTTTTGTAGTTACTACAAAATTGTGAAAAATATATTATCAATAAAGAATTACAAAATCGAAGAAATCGTGACTTCAATGTTCGGATTCTTTTGGTGATTAAAAGAATCAAGAATTGAAAATAACACCAAAAATTAATTTGAAAAAATGATAATATTGGTAAAAGTGTAAACACGATAAAACCTTAAACCTCAAAATATTTGATCAACATTCATTTTCATTTTCATTCTGACTCCCCAAAAAATATTAAAAATATCACAAGCCATGAACTCCTCTCTTTTACTCCATCATCTTCTTCTCCACATCTCCATTATCTAGCAACATTCGACCACGATGACTTCCTCCACCACATCTTCTCCTCCACTCCTTGGCCCTCCTCCATCCTCGGTGACGATCCTCACCCAACTTTCGATTGTGTTGCCGTCATTGTATAACCATTTGTAGATTATTAGCAAGTCCTCCAGCAAAGTCGAGAAGAATATTCTCGATGCTCCATCCGACTGTGCTCTTTCTAGTGAACTTCATCTTTGTCTGTGAAGAAAAGAAAACACATGAATCTGAATAATGCAGAGTCAATCAATTATGAAAAAAAATTAAGGTTTGGAACCGTTCTGATGCTTGTCATGACTCATGACGACCTGAATTGAGCTATAACAATGAACACATAAAACATTATCATCAACACTGTTTAGATTACAGTTAAAAAAATAGATTTAATGCTCTGCGCAGCAACTTACTTGAAGATCGAGATGAGCCATAGCCAAGAGTGTGTAGGTAATGCTATGAAGAAACATATAGCTGTAAATGCCCACACAACAACCACAATACCAGATCGAAATGATTTCTTTGTCTCATAACCATCCTAATGACGTAATATCTTGATAGGTTTAGACCTTGGAGGAATGCAAATGAAGCTTCCATTAGGAGATGAAAGTTTCTTTTGCTAGGAAAACGTTGTTTTGGAGTTCGACGATGTGAGAAGAGGCCAATAGCTCGAGTATTTATAGTGGTTTAAGTTAGGTCACAAAGATCTTGGTGACCAAGCATAGTATCTTTGAAATCATAACAAAATTGGAATAAAATATATGTAATCGTTTAATGTAAAGGAATATGCCATGAAATTTGTGTTTAAAGGTAGTAATTAGTTTGGATAAATAAGATTGTATGAATATTATGCATCATAATTAAGGAAAAACGAATTGTTTTATAATTAATAAATAGTATCCATATCGTATAATATCATAACAAAATCAAATTCTAGATAAGGAAACAAAAATATTTAATAGTAATTAGTTAAATTTCCATAATAAAATCGACAATGTTAAGATAATATTTCAATACCACGATTTTTTTAAAGATATGAGAAAAAATTAGATTAGGAAATAAGATTAAACCGAAATATAAGAGTAATTGTAGTCATAAATGGCGATTTTTTTTTATTACAACATTCCTAAAATTTCTTATCCAAGATCCGGATAGAATTAAACCCAGATAAAACCCGGATCCAAAAGACTTTTTGCAAAAATCCCCTGTAAAAATGTATATGTAGATTATACCAAGAAAAATTCTACTTAATAAAATCTTATTCAATTTTTTTCCAATTAATTACAAAATAAATAGTATAATTAAATTCCTATGCATTAACTTTTTATTAATTACCAAATATAGTAACAAATAATCCTGATTTGTTTGGAAATATGAAGAGTCCATGAGATTTTTTTATTAATTAATACAACAATTATCTTAGATAGTTTTTTTTTTTGCTAGGAATTATCTTAGATAGTTTGTAACTGAAGTTTTATTACACAAAAATATCTAAATCTACAAGAGAATGTCGTTTTCGTAATTAGAAGACTTTCTAATATGTTTTTCCCAAAAAAGAAAAAGAAGTAACCAAAGCTTCTTCATCAACCAACGTATTTTGGCTTCCTTTCTTCTTCTTCTTCTTCCTCTTCCCTAACATTCCATTCCCCGTATGGGTCTCACCACTTGCTAAGTCTTCTCTCTCTTATCTCTTCTTGTTTTAGCTATGAAGAAGCAATCTCAATTCAGATCCAATCATACCCTTCTCTTCTTTCTTCTCTGATCATCAACAACAACAACAACGATTCGGGTTCTGTAATTTCAGTTATCGGTATATTCGATCTCTTGTTCTGTTTCTTCTCTGTTTGATTTAGCTTGTTTTGACTGTTGATTTTTGAGTTTTGATTATGATTACTCTTAAAGTTTGCTTTTTTAGGGAGTAGTAAGATTGATAGCTAAGTAAAGAGGACTTTTTTAGTTGAATTTCACTTTTTGGAGACGTAAAGAAGAAAAAGCTTCATAAATCCCTAAACTTTCGAAAATTCTCTATAAACCCTTTTTCAAAATCTTGACAATTTAGGGAAATATTACTGAAAGTTTTGTTTTTTGTATGATTTAGCAGAGAGAAATGGCGATGTTAGTTGAGCCACCAAATGGGATTAAACAACAAGGGAAACATTACTACTCAATGTGGCAAACATTGTTCGAAATCGATACTAAGTATGTTCCAATTAAACCTATTGGAAGAGGAGCTTATGGTGTGGTTTGTTCTTCAATCAATCGTGAGACTAATGAGAGAGTTGCTATTAAAAAGATTCACAATGTGTTTGAGAATCGTGTTGATGCTTTGAGAACGTTGAGGGAACTTAAGCTTCTTAGGCATGTGAGGCACGAGAATGTTATCGCGCTTAAAGATGTTATGTTGCCTGCTAATAGATCCAGTTTTAAAGATGTTTATTTGGTTTATGAGCTCATGGATACTGATCTTCATCAGATTATTAAATCCTCTCAGTCTCTTTCTGATGATCACTGCAAATACTTCTTGTTTCAGGTAACCTTGAGTCCTTCCTCGGTAAATCTACATTTCGAGTATTATCGATTAGTTATTGACATAAGTTTGTTGTTGTTTAGTTGCTTAGAGGATTGAAGTATCTTCATTCTGCAAACATCCTGCATCGGGATTTGAAGCCCGGGAACCTCTTAGTCAACGCGAATTGTGATCTCAAGATTTGTGATTTTGGGTTGGCGAGAACGAGCCAAGGCAATGAACAGTTCATGACGGAGTATGTTGTTACACGTTGGTACCGAGCACCTGAGCTTCTTCTTTGTTGTGATAACTATGGAACCTCCATTGATGTATGGTCAGTTGGATGCATATTCGCCGAGATTCTTGGCAGGAAACCGATTTTCCCGGGAACAGAATGCCTTAATCAGCTTAAGCTAATCATCAATGTTGTTGGTAGCCAACAAGAATCCGATATACGGTTCATAGACAACCCGAAAGCTCGAAGGTTTATAAAGTCTCTTCCTTTCTCAAGAGGAACTCATCTCTCCAATCTCTACCCACAAGCCAATCCTCTAGCTATAGATTTATTACAGAGGATGCTCGTGTTCGATCCAACGAAAAGAATCTCTGTAACCGATGCACTCTTACACCCGTACATGGCGGGGCTGTTAGATCCTGGATCCAATCCTCCTGCACATGTCCCAATCTCTCTGGACATAGACGAAAACATGGAGGAACCAATGATCAGAGAGATGATGTGGAATGAGATGCTTTATTACCACCCTGAAGCTGAAATCGCAAACACCTAAATCATCATCAAGAGTAAGTTTTTTTTTCTTTCCAGTTTTCTTCTTTTTAAAATGCAGCTTTGATGTTATGTTATATAGCGAGTCCACAAACATCTGGTTTGATTTAGTTGCAGTGAGTGAGTAGTAGTAACAATGTTTGAAAAGTGGCTCTCAGTATCTTACCACTTTGTAAATGTGACTGTTTGTTACTAAAGTAAGTTAAGGCTTGTTTTTGTTACATTATCTTGATGAGTTTGACTTCAGGTTTTCAGACTAATCTTGTATTTTGTATTTTGCTTTGCCATTGCCCACTTGCCATCCCCACGAAATAATTGTTTATATAATTTAGATACTCATATTATAAAAGTATAGATGTTATTTTCTCTATTTATCCTACCTATACAATTTCATAATGTGTCACTTCATATTTTTCGTTTATTTTTTAATACTACCAAAAGAATTTCAGAATAAATAGGTAATAATCTTATAAATTTGATCTAAGAAAGTGTGCAATTTTTTTAATATAAATTTCAATATGAAAACTAGTGTGTTTTTTAAAAGACTTTTAGTATAAGCTTATAAATCTTAATATTAATAAATAAACGAACATAATTTAGAAATTTGCCTTTTAGATGAAAATATTAAATATGTTTAAAACAAAAACACAAATGAAGCCGACAAAAAGTAAAAAAAAAAAAACACACACACACAACACACTAAAAAAAAAGAATGGATTAAGAAGATATAATAGGGCTGAGCTAAACTTTAAGAGGGCCCCAAGCACAACTCGAAATTTGTGGCCCATTAGCTTAGAAAATTGCTTTCTTCAGAAAAAAATTATATAAAAAGTAGACAAAGGAAATCAACGACAAAAAAAAAAACAAGGATCTAGCCCACCTGGTTAGAACAGTAAACTCATTTTTTGACCAATGTGCTGCTGAGTTTTTAGGCAACATTAATTTGTGGCCACATCAATAAATATATATAGTATGTTCCATAACTCCAACCCCAAGTTTCTATATTTGGCTCATGGTCCGGGTTTAGGCAACAATGATACGTTATTTATGCATCAATGGAGGAGGAATCATATCTATGGAGTTTCAATGAATACACGATATTTTAGACCATATACATAACAAAAATGATCCACATACCTACGGACACTCGTGTAATAAAGCAGCTGACATGCTGATGATGACATGATAAGCTTTCACAAAATTTATCTACTCAAAAGATTAAATATCTAACAAAACCTCAGATTCTTCTATCACAAACTCAGACTTTCATAAAAACTTTCACCAGTCACCACCACTATAAAAGGCTCATTATGAAATATATTCATCTGTGAATTTTTTTATAAAAAAGTTCAAAATTTTAAAAAAATCTTTTTATGGTGATTTTTTTTTAAAAAAATCACTTACCGGGAGATCAAAATTTAACTTGAGCGTTAAAAAGATTTAGAGCAACACGCTCTTGTTGTTCACAAAATAATGTGTCAGATGGTAGGTTTCCATACAAAGTATAAATTGTTTTTTGTCAACAACTAGAAATTAGTTAAAACAGTTAAAAATCTAAGTCCAACTACATCTACATATACATTTTTATAGTACTTTTTTGCTTTAATTCTTTTGGATCCGGGTTTGACCCGGGTTTTAATCTATTCGGATCTTGGATTAGCAATTTAAGGGATGTTGTATTAATTTCAAACTAATAAATGAAGTCATGTTGTCTTAATATCTTTCATAATAATGACCCTAATAAATAACCGATTTTAATGGAAAATCGTTTTCATATTTATGCTCATAATAAATGTCCAGATTTTAACAATATATACATATATTATGAAATTATAAAGAAAAAAACGTATTTATTTTTTTAACAGTATATATATATATATTATGTTAATAAATTTGTTTAATATTCTAATAATAAGCTATGTCATTTTTCTTTTACAATAACAAATTAAATATAGGCAATTGTCCATTTAAATTGCAATAAATTTAAAATCAAAATAACAATCTACATATACATTTTTATAGAGTTTTTTTGCATTAATTCATTTGGATCCGGGTTTTATCCGGGTTTAACTCTATCCGGATCTTGGATAAGGAATTTTAGGAATGTTGTCTTAATTTCAAACTGATAAATGAAGCCATGTTGTCTTTAATTCATCTACTTATTCCGTTTAATGTTTCTTTAATTACAAAGAAGTTATCTATTTTAATGGTAAATAATCTTTCATATTAATGACCCTAATAAATAGCCAATTTTAATGGAAAATCATTTTTCATATTTATGCTCATAATAAATGTCCAGATTTTAACAATAAATATATTATGAAATTATAAAGAAAAATGTATTTATTTTTAACAGTATATATATATATATATATATATATTATGTTAATATATATATATATATATTATGTTAATAAATTTGTGTAAATACTCCAATAATAAGCTACGTTATTTTTCTTTTACAATAACAGATTAAATATAGGCAATTCCCCATTTAAATTGTAATAAATTTAAAATCAAAATAACAATTAATATATACATTCATAAGGAAATCATATATCCTAATCTTCACATAATCCGTAATTATGTTTTTGATATATTTGAATATCTAATATTAAATTTCTAAAGGATTCTCAAAATATTTTTTATAATAAATATTGTTTTTACGAATAATATTTTGTTTTGTTATAAAAAGTAATATTTGTTATTTTTCTAAATTATTTTTGTAATTAAATTACATAAATATTAATAATAATTTGTCTACACCATCAAATGAAAATAGTTATTTATATAATCTTTTATTTAATATTACGTAATATATATATATATATATATATATATATTTTGGTAATATTTTATGATGTGGGTGAACAAATTATTTTCGTATTTATGTAAACAAAACAATAAAATCTAAATTAGTTTAAAATTTGAGATACTATAATCCCAAAAATAAAACTAATTGGAAACTAATCGCAACAATCATTCTACATAAATGGCATATTCTTTACAACATTACTAAATCGCATTTACTGCATTATTCGTTTCCAATTATGATTACAAATCTTTGATTAATTTAATGGTATTAAACTCATATCTACATATACATTTTTACAGTTTTTTTTTGCTTTTAATCATTTGGATCCGGGTTTTACCCGGTTTAAACCTATTCGGATCTAGAATAAGAGATTTAAGGAATATTGTAATAAAAACGACATTTAAGACTAAACTAAACATACAATTCGTTTTAATCTTATTTCCTTAACTACTTCCCACATTAATTGGTTCTATTCCTTTTTATCAATAGTAGCATTAAAGATTTTCCGTTTACGAATCTTGCAAAAATCTCTGCTTAGTCCACGATTAGTTTCTAAAATAAAATCTCCGAGATATTTGATAGCGTTTAATTATTACCAAATTATCATTTAATTCTACATATCTCTACCCAAAAAAACGTCATTAATATAGATAATTACACATATATTTATGTTTCCTTATTCCTTAACTTCTTCCCATATTAATAGGCTATATTACTCTTTATCTCGAGATGATTTTCGAATATTTATGCCATCTTAACTAATTACATCCATACCATATATCATCTATATTCTCTTTATATTATGCAATAAAATATTTTTAAAACATAATTATGGCTAATTAAATTCTTTCCATTATATGGTTCTCTTCTCTAATTGAATCCATAATTCCCGCCCAAGAAAATCTCAACGATGATACCATAATTATATACTTTTCGATATTTTTCTTAACATTTGATTTTAAGAAACAAAGTTATGACTCTAATTATTTTTTTAATTCGGTTTAATGTGATTTCCTAAACTAATTACCACATTAATTGGCTATATTCCTTTTAAATGGTTGCTTAGCTTTTTTTTAAGATTCTCTGCAAAACCAAATCATTTACAATCTTTTTCAAATAAATTTTGTTATATAACGATTTCCTAATCTTTCCTTAAACATATCCTAAACTTTCGTTGTATATAATATCTTTGATTTTCTACTTTCTCTCCAAGATATTATCAAACTACCTTAACAATAAACTTAGATGCCTACCTACCCTATAAATACCACACTTTTACTCGACTAGAAGACTCATCAAACAAATACCTCTTCATACCCATTCCAATCTTTATTTGTTATATGAACTTTCATTTTTCTGATTCATGAATTTAATAAATATTTGATGTCTTGCGCAGATAATCCTATACAAGATGAGCAACCCATTGATGATTGTCATTATCAAGAGCATATGCTTTAAATTTACGTCAGATTCTTTCATATGGTTAGTTTTTTTTATTCACCCTATTTTTTTTTAGGTAAATCTTCATGTTTAATGATAATCTTAATATATATATATATATATATATATATATATATATATATATATATATATATATATATATAAGATAACTACAGTTTGATAACATTGATTTTTAAAAAACTTAAAAGAAAAAATAAAAAACGAAAATACAAACTATAAAAAAGTCTAACTTTATTAAACGTTTTAATTATTTATAATATTATAAATTTTATGAAGTTTCAAATATTATAAATATTTGAATTTTATAAGAATTTATAAGTAGTTTAAATATTATAAATATTTATAAAAGATATTAATACGAGACGGTATACTACGGGTGAAATCCTAGATATAACAATCAAAATACAATTATGAAGTTTGGGTCGTATTAAAACTTTTATGAAGTTTCAAATATTAGAAATATTGAACTTTATAAAAAAAATTACAAAAATGATGTTTAATTTCACGGGACGGGGTTATATAGTGGGACGGATTTAGATCGATATTAATACGGGATGGTATATTACAGGTGAAATCCTAGAATTTTGATTTTTTAGTTATAAAATATTGACATGCGGTTTACCATATATCTATAGATCATTCTAAAAAAATCATTTTTTTATTTAGGGAAAATATAGACCCGCGGTACACCGCGGGTTAATATCTAGTGATTTACATAAATAAGTACAATTTAAATTTAATACTTCATGCAAATTTATCAGTATACGTTCATCTCAAAATTAATGAGTAAATTTTAACTTTTGATTTTCAATCTGTGTCCTGATAATACAAATTTTATTTAGACATTGAAATCAAAAATTACCAAATCTAATAAACCGCTTGGAGTTTAAAATACAGTTTTCAAATAAAATTTGAGATAATGAAATATATTTAGCAAAATTCAATAACAA